CTTGAAATGAGGCACTTTGACCAAGATGACCTGTGAGGAGAAATGACCAATCTCGGACTGGGTGAGAATTCTTTCTGTCTGAAAGGTTCTTCGCTCGTTTCTCTTTGTTTTGTAATGTTCCATTTTTCTACTTTCACCTTCAAGTTAATTTCTCACTAGTATGGCTGTTTCCAGTTTGGGATAACAAAATATAGAACTTGTTCTGTTGCATCTCCTTGCTAGAAAGTTATAAAGATGTTAAATGAATTTAAAAAAGATCCTAATAAATCATAAAATAAAAAACAGCCACACAGGATTGTATGCCCACCACACTGCAATCCACAAAACCAGGAGATCGGCTTTGGATGAGACATGAGTGGTGCTACTGTAAATATATAAATATACAAAAAAATAAAATCAGCTGGCAGAGGGTCAGGGGTCAGGGTTAATGTTCTAAGATCAAGTTTTGTACCTGGTTAGAGAAGGCACAGGAACAGTGGAACTGTGATTTGACGATAAATATGCTATACAAGCATGAGAATATAGGATAGGCCCTGTATGACTGAACAAAACATTGTTATTTTTACACAATATGTGACATAGAGTTGCCTGTGCCTTACAACATCTTCACTCAACCATTATGATTTTAGGGTTAACAATTAAAGCTATTGCTTCATGAGGAATCAGTACAAGTACGCTTTACCTGTAATTTATAATTCTAAATTTCCTGGGCCAGACACTCGCAGTGTTAAATTTCCTCTGTCTACTATGATTTCTGCATCAATAATATACATATAAGGGGGGAAAAAACAATTACATGCTTAGGAAAAAATACAAAGGTGTACTATGTTTTAATTATTTCTCTTCTGCTTGGTAGACATAGGAAAATACTTATTTCACAGTGGTTTTTTAAATTGCATTGGGTTTTTTTTCGACACAGATGGTGTTTAATATAACAAAACATTTATTTATGGCATTTGAGGGTAGTATTTTTATAATGATTTATTTTCTTTTTACCATTCTCAGAAAATTGCATTAAATGTCTCGAAGACCAGTGGCCAAATGAGGGAAGAGATAAGTGCATCATGTGATCCATCAACTTCTTATCATATGAAGAACCTCTGGGCATGATGTTCACTGTAACAGCTATTGTTTTATCCATCACTGCAGCAATAATTCTCATATTTTTTATTATTCACAAAGAAAATTCTATTGTGAAAGCCACAAAAAAATCTAAAAACAAATGTCCAATCGTGGCAAAATCGCTGTAAAATCGTGGCAAAAACCCAATGCACTATGTTCCAGATCTGGCCCAGAAAATGGTGTAAAAACCAGCCTCAATCTTTCAACACAGGCTCTATTTTATTCATGTGCAGATCGAAGGAATTAACCTTGATCTGCACATGACATCTGTTAAAGCCACCATACAAGTTTAAAAAGGTAAAGAAAATTTTTAATAATTAATAATTAATTTGAATCAGCCCTAACTCCATAATTTCCTTTTCCCTTTAGCCATTATTTTTTCTATTATACTTTTTTTCATTTTTTCATTTTACCCACAATGTGTAAACTTTTTTTGTTCTCATTTAAAGTAGTAATTAAAGTCTCAATTTTTTTGTATATATCTACTGCTAGTAAGTAGATATACTGTGCACGCAACCGGAAGCGTGTACACCGCACAAACTCCATGGGACACAGAAGTCTGCGCTGGATCAGAGACCGGCACCAGCACTGGAGGGACTGCTGGAAACGGGTGGAAGGAAGAAGATGATAGCAGCAAGAGGCATCACATAAGGTAAGTAATAACAGCAGAATTACAATGGGGAAAAAAAAAAAGTTGACTTTAACGTCCCTTTAACCCCACCTGGTACTTATGTCAAAAATCAGGCAGTTTGTGGGCAGGTTGAATTCACGTTGAATTTCAGCCTCTAAACCCCACAAAAGATTTTGATATGTGTTTAATTATTCATGGGTCAATCATTGAAATAAAAGATGAATGAAAGATTAGAAGTTCTTCTTCAAAATATCACTTATTCAAGATCAAAACAAGAAGCCTGATTTACTCAGTAATTGTATAAATGTCAATCTCAAGCTAAGGACACCTGGTAGCATCTCTAGAGGTTTAAATTATGAGTATTATTTTTAATTGGTTTTCCCACAAGATATAAGCATTGATATATATATATATATTTGATCATAAGGGAGCATGAGACCCACTGAAGTCTTTCAAACTGGAAAGAAGAAGATCATTATGCAGCACTAAATAATTCAGGTCATTAGTTATAGTATTACACAGAAGACAATTAATGTAAGGATCAATTATGAAACAATCTACAGTTTTACAGAACTATAATTGTATCAGAATCCAATTGCCACCATTTACATTGTTTCATTAAGTAATACACACCGTATTTGTCAGAGGTGGGTAAATGCAATTCTAACAATATGCCATTTTCAAAATTAGTGGGCAAAGATTTGGTGAGATTATAAGAATAGCATTAAAGTAGTCAACGAAATGTGTCATTACATATAAAACTAGGCTTTTTAGCAGGTAGTGCTTAAAGCACAAAATGTAGTAACCCAAAAGTTTGCAAATCTCATGAACGGGTTTATTGAACTTTGCACAGTTGCATTATACTTATACTTATAAGTATAATGTCCAACCGTAAATTGTACTAATAATGCATGCTCATAATATTACTCATAATATTGCTGATGCTTCTAAATTAAGAAAAGTTTAGTGGTTTCATCCAGTAGGCTGTCCATTGAGATGCTCATACTTAATCAGCTTAGCCTTTTTTTTATATTTAATGTAATAATTTCTAGGTTGTTTAGCTTAGTGAGAACAGTGCTGATAGTTATTATCTTTCCAAATTGTTAGAACCTAATAATTTAACCTTATTTTTCTTAAATATTTTATCTGTATAACTTTTTATTACTCATTATTACCATTTATCTTCCATTCATCATGGAAGATATTTTCTCTATTTTGCAAAAGACCCTTGTGTCCCTACTCCCTTTAGCAGATGTAGCCACCCCCCCCCCCCCTAAATCACTATACATACCTAGATCTTACTTCAAGCTGATCTGTCTACCAGCCCAACAGAAGTCTATGAGGCTCAACTGAGCACACACAGCTATCGGAGCAAGAAGCCAACTGAAGAATGTACATACTGCTAGATTTAGGTAATTATTGAGATTTGGGAGAGAGGGAGGCTACCCGTGCTTAGAAAGTAGAGACAAAGGGCAATATAAGTTTGGGGAAAAGGTTCCTTACCCTTTAATGTTCTGAAAAAACATTTTCAGTATATTTTTCCAGGAAAACTTTTAGTTTATTAGTGATCACAGTGCAATTAGACATGCATATGCATGTGAATATGTAAATATTGCTGTACAAAGGACCATTAATACAGGTTTATACTCTGAATCATGTAACCAAGCAGGGATAGAACTATTGACATAAAAACCCATGTGACTGCTACAAGGCTCTGCATCACAATACTGTGTGAAACTTTAATGGCTTATCCAGTTAACAACAGCATTTTCCAATTATTTGTTTAAGCTTATTTCTCGTCTGGTTCTAATTCAAAAACATACTTCATTATTACTGCATTTCTAACACCCAAGAATCAAATTTAAGCATTATAATATTATTTTAAAATATTTTTCAAAAATGTGTTATTTATAGTATCATATAACACCTGTTTGAAAAATGTGTTTCTATATCGCTCTATCCCATGTCTGCTAATATTTAGTTGTAATATTTTGTCAAAAGTACTTTATTAGACCACTGTTGTAGTACTTCACAAACAGTATTTACGATAATATTAATAGCAGGCATAGCTTATGTTGCATTCATTTTTTTTCAAGCAAGCATGCAAATTATTTAGCAACATATACTAATCCATGTTAATAACTTGTTCAATATGCACATATTGCAAAAATTGCAGCCTGCTAGTCTATTTCAAAGTCTAATTTTTATGATAATCATATTTGGCAGAATTGTTTATAAAATATTTTTCTTTTGTTTCATACAGAAAAAACATTTTAGTGTAATTCCAATGTCGATTTTTAAAGCTCAGATGATATAACATAAATAGATCTTTTGTCAGATAGCTATGTTTAAATATGACTGCGCAGTAAAAAGGGCACCAGAGCTTGACCGTGTGGCCCAGTTAACTCTGTAAGGGTGCAGACCTGGTCAGATACACCTTCTCTCTTCCTTAGCACTAGAAGGGTGTGAAAGTGTGCTTTTGTAGAGGGCAGTCTTAGTTATTCATCTATACAAGCATAAAGCACTGAGTACAAGCACAGAAATGACTGTACATTTGTGCTAAGGGAAAAGGGCATTTCCAATAGAAAATACATTTTAGGGACTAAAGAGAGAAAAATACATTTTTAGGCTTCAATTTCCTTATTAAGTAATATTGTACAATTATATACAATAGCTTAAAGTGACACTAAACTCAGGCATTACATCTTAAAAATGCATTCAAGTACCATATTAACAAAAAGGTATCTTAGTTGTATATCACTTGGCTGTAGATCATCAAATCATTTTTGAATTCATGCTGGCACTGTCCTTCCTTCTGGAGGGTGGCTACTTTTGTTCCCCATTGTCCCCGTGTGTTATAAAGTAGCCATCAATCCAAGCTCACTCCCGTAGTGGACTACAATCTCACATTTAGTGTACCAATTTTGTTAATAGGGTACTTCAATTCATTTTAAGATTTGACTGCTAAGTTTAATGTCACTTTAAGATCTATTAGCCTTTGATTTAAACATAGATATAGTCTGCATAGATATTCACTGCAGTTATTGATATATGTAGATGAAGTGATTATATTGTTCCATCTATCATCACTATTACTTCTATGGTATATATTTCAACTATATATAAGAATTGATGTCATTAAACTAACATTATCAATAACTTATTTCTTTTAGGGAAAATAAGGCTGATATAGAAACTAAAATTGTTATATGTAGAATTGTTATTCTTTGCACAGAACATTAACATGATGTACAACCAGAGTATCAGTGAATTTATCATAGTGGGGTTCACCAATATAGTTCACCACCAACAGCTGCTTTTCACCCTGATGCTTTTATTGTATCTCATCATTATTACTAGCAATATAATTATACTGCTTGCGATTCTTTTTGACTCTCACCTTCATGTCCCTATGTATTATTTTATCTGTGCTTTATGCTTGTCTGAGATGGGTATTGTTATAACTGTCTATCCAACAATGTTTACCTTAGTTTTAAATGGAAAAGCACATATTTCGTTTAATTACTGTCTTTTGCAAATGTATATTTTCCACTCACTTTCAATAACTGAGAATTATCTCTTGAATGTAATGGCTTATGATCGCTATGTAGCAATATGTAAGGCTCTACGATACCATGCTATAATGACATTAAAGTCAAGTAAGTTACTTATAGCAATATGTTGGATTCTTGGATTTTTAACACCTTTAGCATATCTTATTTTAGTAAATCAGTTACCATTTTGTGGAGCAAATGTGATCCAGCATTTGTTTTGTGACTCATCTCCACTTTTAAATCTTGCTTGTGCCAATAATGACCTCACTATTATCATGGACTTTACTCTTAGTTCCTTCACAATTATATTGACCTCATTTTCTATCATCATTACATATGCTAATATTTTGGCTGCAATACTCAAGATGAAAACATCAGAGGAACGGAAAAAGGCCTTCTCCACCTGCGCATCCCACCTTATTATAGCTTTTATTTTTTATGGAAGTATTGCTTTCATGTATGTAAAACTTCAAACTAACTACTCACCAGAGTTGGACTTGGCCACAGCGATTCATCATTCTATTTTGACCCCACTTTTAAGCCCTTTTGTCTACAGTTTCCGTAACAAAGACATTCAAAGCTTCCTAAAGAGATTTTTTCAGCGAAAAAAAGGATTTGCAGAAAATATACATGTTTCATTCATATCCTAAAGAAAAACAAGCCACAGATCTTATCAGAAAGAATATAATAATGTTCAAAGAATGGATTTTGGTTTCTCTTGGATATCAGAGAAATTCTGTAATTTTACAAAATACATTTCCTTTTACACTTTCTGAAATGACTCATTTTTTGAGCAAGAGCATTTCATAACTGGAGTGTTCAATCATAAAAAGATGTAATATATGTTACAGCTATTTCCCCCATTGTATAGAAGAATAGGAAAGACATATATATTCTACTACTTATAGATGTCAAATTAGGAAAATACAAAAGTAATAAAGCCTTATATCATGTTAGCCATTGATTAATGCAGAAAGTTTGGAGTTTAAAGTGCTAGTGAAGCACTTTTTTAGTTTTGCATAGAGTGGAGAAAGATTTGAACCCCTGTCTGTTTTTTATTGCTCTCTGTGTTCCCGTTAGGGAGATACACCCCTGTATTTGTCCTGGTGACCGTTATTATTGAAAGTGAAAGAGGCATCACATAAAGTGCCATAAAGTAATATAGTCCTAGTGACCTAGCTGATTCTCCTGTCTTTGGAAGGACATCCTCTCTCTGCCTGTTGTGGCTGTTGGACAGGAAGTGAAGGGAAAACCTCCCAATAGGACACAGATGGCAAAAAAAAATCTATCCAAAACTAACAAAAAGTTTCAGCTCTACTTTAAGTAACACCCTTTAAAAGTTTGCATCATTATCAACTTAATTTATTATTTAAAAAGCTATTACCTAAACTAGAAACTTTTTGCAAAAACCATTTGAAAATCCTACCTAACTATGACGCTGCTCCAATGCCTTACATACTTTCTGAGTAAAGTTCTTAAAAGTTCAAATTCACTTGCTGCATACTTGTTTTGGGTCAAATTATCAGAATGTATTAAGCTCTTAAAGCTGGCAATATTTTTTAAAAAATCAATAAAAAAATTATTTTCCACAACATTCCTTGAATATCACAAACATATCTGAAGGCTGAAATTCTTTGCATATAATGGATGACATCATGGGGTTGATTTACTAACCTTATAAACACACCACGAACGTGTATACACCTCTGCAGTGTGTTCCCTCCCAGCATGATCTATGGGTGGAATCTAAACACCTTTGTAGTGTGTACACACCCAGCAGGTGTGTTGTGCAAAGCCCTGAAGGAATTCCAAGGTGATGTTGGGTAAATTAGCTCTATGTTGTGTTGCTTGCGTTGATGAATGCAGGAATGTAAATGCATGAGCTAACCATTTTTGTCTAAACTATGAAGCAGCATTATATATGCATCATGTGCATGATTTTTCCATATATGGCATTAGTGGAAATATGCTTTTAGAGACTTTTTGGTTGATAAATACGTTTTGCTGTGTGAAAATCACACACCTGGTGTGTGTGTGTGTGT